CACTGCAAGAAACATGGTCATACTAAGGACACATGCTAGATCATTCATGGACGGTCATCAGAGCTAAAATGGACGAAAAATCGGGACAGTAGAGGGAACACAGCTGAGGTAAATTCTCATTCAACACCATTCAACAAAGAGCAAATGGAAGCCTTACAAAAAATACTTTAACAAATAATTGGTACAACCACTATGGCACAAAAAGGTAATTTTTTGCATGCTTTAAACACTGGCAAGGGGAAACCAAATTCATGGATTATTGACTCATAAGCATCTGATCACATGATGGAGATTTGACTGTCTTTGATAGTTATTCTCCATGTCAAAATAATTTGACTGTTTGAATTGCTGATGGTACCGTTTCTAAGGCCATGGGTAAAGGTTCTTCCATTATTTCACAAAATATTACTCTTAGTTCGGTACTTTATGTGCCTAAACTTGATTGTAACTTGCTATCCATCAGTAAACTTACAAAGAATTTGAAGTGTATCACTAAATTATTCCCTAACTTGTGTGAATTTCAGATTTTGGAGTCAGGGAGGACGATTGGCAATGCTAAAGAGTGTGTTGGATGCTATATCCTTTAGGATGAAGCATCTAAACCAGAATCTGAGGCTACCTCTTATGTTGTAGTTTCTGCATGTAGCAAAAATTCTGCAATGTTGTGGCATTATAGACTAGGCCACCCAAATGTTATGTACTTGGAAAAAATGCTTCCTAAATTATTCAATAAAAATTAGAAGTTGTTTCAATGTGAAATTTGTCAATTGTCTAAACATACACGCAACTCCTACCACCCCAGCCCTATAAACCTTCCCAACCTTTTTATGTTATTCATAGTGATATATGGGGACCATCGCGGGTCAGAAATGTTACTGGATCAAGATGGTTTGTCACCTTTATTGATGATCACACACAGATCACTTGGTCTACCTTATGAAAGATAAATCAAAAGTTTGTAGGATATTTGAATGTTTCCATACCATGGTGCAAACACAATTTTAAAGCAAAATTAGAGTGCTTAAGAGTGATAATGGTCGTGAGTACTATAATTTTGCACTAAGCTCTTACTTTCAGCAACATGAAATAATACACCAAACCTCATATATGGATACACCTCAGTAGAACAGGGTTGTCGAGAGAAAGAATAGACACCTCCTAGAAGTAACTTGATCCTTCATGCTAGCTACAAATGTACCTAACCAATTTTTAGGAAAAGTTATCTTATCTGCAACCTACCTTATAAATAGGATGCCTTTCTGAATCCTTAACTTTCATATGCCTTACTCCACTCTCCAAACCTTATACCCAACCAATTGTATCCTTACATCAATTCCTTTGAAAATATTTGGATGTACAACCTTTGTCCATAACCTTGATCCCCATCACAGTAAACTTGACCCAAAATCCACTAAATGCATATTCCTCGGCTACTCTCCTCACCAAAAGGGATACAAATGTTATTCACCTCAAAACAAAAAATTCTACCATACCATGGATGTAACCTTTTTTTAGAATCAACCATATTACCCCAAAGTTGGCATTCAGGGGGAGAATGCATATCCAGTTGAAGTGGTAGAATCCCAACTTTTAGAACTTGAGCTAACTGAACCCAAAATCACTGTAGAGGCATCAAAACCTACACCTGAACCAAATGAAAATGCAATAGAAACTGCAGAGAAAACTACAGGAGACCCTAAGAAAAAACTTACACATGGAACAGAAGAAACTACGTCAGAAAATGCAACCCCTATAACAAGAAATACATTAGGAAATAATTGGAAAGTGTACTCTAGGAAGAGCATGAAGGGAATAGAGTCCTGCACAGCTCCAAGGAAGAACCAAAAAACCTCCGAGACTGTAGAAAATGGTGTTCCCTCAGATAATCTTGCGCCTAACTCTATGAATGTTGATGATATTAATATTCCTATTGCTTTGAGAAAAAATGCAAGATCTTGTACTAAACACCCCATCGAAAGATTTGTATCTTATGGAAAATTGTCACAAAGTTACAAGACTTTTGTAACCGCTCTTGACAATACACATATCCCAAGCAACATTTATGAGGTACTCCAAAATTCTGAATGGGCATCGGCCGTAACTGAAGAGGTTCAGGCCTTAGTTAAGAATGGCACTTGGGAGATCACAAGCCTACCTGCAGGGAAGAAGCTGGTAGGATGCAAATGGATATTCTCCATGAAATATAATGTAGATGGGAGTATAAATTGGTACAAAGCTAGACTTGTAGCAAAAGGATTTACTCAATCATATGGAGTAGACTATGAAGATACTTTTGCACCAATGGCCAAACTAAATTTGACCAGAGTTATACTCTCTTTGGATGAAAATTTAGATTGGCCACTCCATCAACTAGACATCAAGAGCGCCTTCCTAAATGGTGACCTAGAAGAGGAAGTTTATATGCAGATTCCTTCAGAACTTGAATCATCCAGTACTACAAATATGGTGTGCAGGCTCCGAAAATCCCTTTATGGCCTTAAGCACTCTCCAAGAGTGGGGTTTGATAGATTAAATCGAGTTGTCAAGAAAGTTGGGTTCAACCAAAGCCAATCAGATCACATTATGTTTGTTAAACACTCCATGGAAGGAAAGATGGCCTTGTTCATTGTTTATGTTGATGATATCGTTATTACAGGAAATTATTATGATCAAATTGATCATTTAAAGGGACTCTTGGCAAAAGAATTTGAAGTCAAGGACTTGGGACATTTTTAGTATTTTTTAGGGATGGAAGTTACTCGAATAAAGAATGGTATCTATGTATCGCAGAGGAAATACACCTTTGACTTACTTCAAGAAACTGGAATGCTTGGGTGCAAGGCAGCTAATACACCCGTAGAAGCAATAAAAGTAAGAGGAGATGAAAGTCCATCAGCTGACACAAATATATATCAAAGTCTAGTTGGAAAACCAATCTGCCTAACTCACATTAGACCCGACTTTGGATTTGTTATAAGCTTGGCTAGTCGCTACATGTCAAATCCAACCGAGTCTAACATAAAAATGATATGAACAGAATCCTTCAATACCTCAAAGGCACACCAGGTCGAGGCCTTCACTTCAAAAGGAATTCAAACACAGGCATTGAAGTCTATACAGATCAGATTGGGCAGGATGCTCCACAGACAGAAAATCGACGACATACTATTGTTCATTTGTGTGGGGGGAACCTAGTAACTTGGAGAAGCAAGAAACAAATTGTAGTAGTGAGGAGTAGCGCATAAGCATAATTTAGAGTTATGTCCATAGGTATTTGTGAAGGAATGTGGCTTAAAAGGATGCTAGATGAAATCAAAATTCATGTGAACCATACTGTAAGGTTACTATGTGATAACAAAATTGCTATAAATATTGCAAAGAACCCAGTCCAACGTGATAGAACTAAGCATGTGGAAATTGAATGACTTCATTAAAGAAAAAATTGATCATGAGATTATAAGCATTGATCGTATCCCGTCATGCAAGCAAACTGCAGATATCTTAACCAAGGCTCTTCCAACGAATACTTATGAAAATATCAAGTTCAATCCGAGTATGATAGACATATCATCCAAATTGAGGAGGAGGGTTGAAGATTAGGACATATCAAATCATAATCATTTGATTATGATTTGTTCAACTATTACAAAAAAAGTGGTGAAAATAAATTTATTATCTATTATTGTTATTTTCTTATTTATATAGCATTATTTATAGTCAATTATTTCTCTGTTTATTAGTCAATTAGTCTACAACCTTCTTCTATTATATTCTATTTATACCTCACGTGTAAATTTGTAATAGTTCTCATTATAATAAAATATACAACATATTTCTAAAAGTAAAGTATAGTAATTTTATACGAGAAATAAAAATTTTGTTAATTATCTATCATAATGAAATATATATGTAAAAAATTAAAGAAATTAGAAAAAGAGGGAGTAGGAAAAAAATCATCAATATAATACTGGTATATAAAACTACTTATAATTTAGAACATTTTCTTTTTTGCAAATTTACTTTATAACTGGACAGATGAAGTAATATTTTTTGTCATACATTACAAGTTATTTAATTTTTTACAAATTAAAAAAAATTAATTAATTTTAAATGAAAAAAAATTCTAAATAAGTTTATAAAAATATTCTTATGAGTATTATGGAAAAAAGTCTTTTAAAAATGTTTTTTTTTTAAACAGAGCAATTCCACTCATATAACACAAGCACAGTCTTTGTTATTCTAATAATGTTGGCAGAGAAACCGGTGTAGAGGGTTAATTAATCTTTTGCCTTTATGGAGAAAATATTTAATTACACATTTCTGTATTAAGAAAATGAAATTGTTTATTAGGCCGTTTACATTGAGCACTGTGCAATTAACAAAAAATGTATATATGCCAGACACAGATGCCACCAAAATCATTTTTTAGGCTTACCTAAGGCTCATTTGTTTTAAGATTTTTTTAAATATTTAAGATTGTTTTAAATGTGTGAGCTTTCTTCAAATTATTTTGTTAAAAAAATTGAAAATGTAAATATATTTTAAACAACTCCGCTAGTTTAGTCTAAGGACAGAGATAGTTCAACACAATATTGTTTAATCTAAAATATATATCACGTAATAAAGATGAGCTTTTAAAGCATAGAGCTGAAAAGTAAAAAGTGTCTTAAAAGTGCCTTGCTGGATTTTGCTTTCATGTTCATACCATTAAGCTTTTATTGCCATAAGTCAAAGACTATAAATATTCTGCTTTATTGATGGATCCTTAAACCCTCTTTTGATCCTTTTGCAGGTGTGGATTTGAGGTTTGGCATCAATTACTGGTAAGTATTTAATCCTCTTGACTCATGAGTTTGTTCTTTGTTGGACAATAAATCTAAATTAAAACTTGAATCCTAGGGTTTTACTTCCAGGGTTCTTGTTTATATATTTTTTTCTTTCAATCTTGTGATCAGGTGTGAAGTGTGAAGTGTGAAGTGTTTCTTAGATATACTTATACCATGGGATGCATTTCTTCAAAATTTATTATATCAAGAACAATCAGTTACCATGAAGATAGAAATCAAAGATCAATGAGAAAAACTTCTAATAGTATTCCTTTGCTTGAAGATTTAATCATCTCAACTAGTTTTTGTAATCAATTGCATTCTAAGAGCTTAAGTTCCAACACTACTTCAAAATTTTCTATTGAGCCGGAAAGTTCTGAGGCTATTGAGAAGTTGGAACAGGAGAAATTTTCTGGTTTAGAAGAAAAAGATGAGTTGGGATCTAAGGATGCTGTAGGTAATAGGAGTTTTCACACAGTTGAGGAATATGATGATATGGTTAATAGAATTTGGTTGAAGGAATCTCAAATTGTTCAACCAAGTGAGTTTAATAATGAAGATAACGACCATGATAATGGCTCAATAATTAAAATGGACCTTCAGGTATTTGAATTTTATTTTATTTTTAAATTGAAGATATGGAAAACTATTATTAGTTAAAGTGACACTATGTTTTTTCCGAGAGGATTTGAATTTTGTTTCTTGAAATTACAAGATCAAACTCTTACCGCTGAACTGTCGTCTGTATCTGAATTCAGCTATCTCAGGATCAAGATTCTTCCATTGAGAAAACGCAACCATTATGGTTAACCAAGAATGAGGAAGTATTTCAAAGTCATAAAGCAAGAATGCTTGAGAAGGGAAATAAGAGAAAGGCTGTAGCAAATAAACTAGAATCTCTTAGAATTCCATCCGATGTTGAATCTGCAGCCATTGGTAGTCTTAAAGAATGGCTTCCTGCAGATGGAATCTACTCTCCTGGATCCTATGTCACGCCGAAATTTGGAAGCTATTCTTCGACAAAAATTAGGAATGAAAATGAATCTGGTGAGGAATCTATATTTAGTCCTGAGTTAGTATCTACTTTTGAACAGTGTATGCAAAAGCTTGAAGCGGAGGAAGAAAACATTTTGAAACAAATTCTAGAGACTGTGGAAGAAGAAGAAATTGAGGAAGAGATCATGCAGACCTGAGAAAGAAAATAAGTAGCATAAAGGGTTAAATTCATACTTCTAGATGAGTTTTGTTAAGATATAAATGTTAGAAATTTTGATTCACATCTTCAATTTTGTTGCATGACTTGTTTGTGTATATTTTGAATACTTTGATCACATGTTTGTATCATATCATAGTTATAAAAATTGGAGAAAACAAATTCACATGAATGAAGTTGGACGATACTTGGCACTCGTATGTAGCACCGACAATTTTGGAAAAAAAAACGTGTTTGTGTATTGGACATCTGCACACACACTTTAATTACGTTTAGTTTATTTATTTTTTAAAATTATTATCAGTGTCAGAAATCGTATTTGGGGTGTCCGTGCTTCATAGCTCGTAACTTCCTAAACATGCATCATTATTTGATCTAATTCCGAATTTCAAAGGATAATGCAATTGGAATTTATGGCTATTTTATTTCATATGTAATAGATGCATTAGAAGGATATCTCTTTGTACAATTATTATAAGGCAGTCTTATTATTCTGTTATCGCAATAACGGACTGGTGTCATGTGAATTTTTCACTAGTGTTAATCTTGAAGGTTGCATCAAACACTTCAATAGATCTTGGCAGCTGGTCTCATGAATGCAACTTAATATCTAATTTTTATTTGCTAAAAAATATCTAATTCTAACAATATAAGCCAAGGGTCTTTTGAAACTGGTATTTATACCGCGTATTTTGTGATTATATCAAGAAGAGGCAGCCATAACCTCAACAACAGTCTCTTGAAACTGGTTACGGAAGTTACAAATCCTAGCAAACATTCGGTTCTTTCTTTGGCAAGTGGCACATCTTGCAATTCTAACAACTATATTGAATCATATGGGTATTCCCTTGAATACTACGTGCCTAATTTGTGAGATTGCAGCAGAAACTCTTGTTATTTGTTTATTTACTTGTAACCAAGCTACAATGGTTTGAAATTTGATCAATGGTCCTCTCTAATTCCTTTTAATGACATTGTCTTCATGCTGCATTGGTCTCAGGAGAACAATGTGTGTCTTTGGTGCGGCAGAAATGAGTAATATTAATCATGCTTTTTGTAATCCTCACAAGGTTGAGATGAGTAATCAAACTTGATTAATTACTAAGAAAGATGAAATAGATGCTTACATTTTTAATATGGACGGCACACCCAAACTAATCTAGAGATGTCGAGGTTTGGTGATTTGATTATGGATTGTGGCTTCTTTGGGTACGTTGGTAATTCTAATAGTCTCTACACCATAATCATGGCGTTGATACATGGTATTCAAATTGTTGAGAGGAAGTTCTTAGGATTATCAAGTATTACACTGACTTTTTGCATATTGTCCGCCTAGTTTATCATATTGATGTTTCGTCACACGATTATAATAATGAAATAGCAGTCGGCGGAAAATATATTGAAAAGTATTGAAATTCGGAGAGAAGTTAATAGGTGTGTTGAATACCTTGAAAAGCTTGGAACATGGTCCCTTTTTGTTTTTCCCGTTATCTCATCACCAAAAATACACGGGTCTCATTCTAGAGACAGAATAAAAACAGAATACAAATTGCATAAAAGATGTAACCAACCAAATACATGTATAAGCACGGTGTTCATATTTCCACCATTTTCTTTAATAATTATTTAACATGGTGTACAACAACAAACACCGTAACACCCTCAAGCCATGTTTTAAACTATATATGATGAGCCATGTCAGTTCACCCTTCTTCTTTTTACTTCCCTTGATAATACAGATACTGTCAAAACACTCAAACTCCTAAATACTAGACAAATACATGAGCTGAATGTATTCACAAAGATACAAATTTACAGGTAGTCAAGATATGTATAGTTTCTGCGTCGATTGAACTGAAGAAGACTTCCATAGGTACGATCCCAAACACCAATAAAAAGTGATTCTGTGTCGGGGCTAAAAGATACACCTGAGACCTCTCCAAAAAAGTCTATTTGTTGCTCCTTTTCAAATCCCTGCTTTGCATCATAGACATGCACGAAGTCAGCTGGCTCAGCCATTGCCATGTATCGTCCATCAGATGTGAAGCGTATTGAGCGTATAGCTCCGAGGTTTCCCTTAAGAACAGCAACAGACTTTGATAGATTCCGAACATCCCAAATGCGACATGTTTTATCTTGGTTCCCAGTGGCAAAAATGCAGCCATCAGGATGCCATGCAGATGCAAATGAATAATCCAAGTGTCCGCATAGAGGTGCGATAGTCTACATACACAATCAAAATTAAAGTTTGATATTAATAGCTCGTCAACAATTGACACATACACCTGCACTCTTACGCATCATATGTAGAGTTTTTGACGAATATACAAAATAAGTATGTAACCTTTCCAGTTTGAGAATCCACCAGTAACCCTTCTGGGTTGTCTCCAACAATTGCAAGTAGTTTCCCGTTAGGGCTCAATGAAGTATGCTGCAGTTACAATAGACACAAATTAATATCACACCTTTAAGTACTAGCACATTTGGGAACCATTATGCAACGTGCCAAGAGAAAATTTAAGATTATATATTCAAACTCTAATTAGGATTGAAATTATACTTAAATTAAGACAACATAATTGAATAAGAAACATTCCTATGCAAAGATAAAACCTACGTACACCAACACAAAATTATGTACACTAATGTTTTCTAATTTTCTTCAACAATCAACAATGCATGATGTCCATTTCAAATCCTTTATGACCACGAATACATTCTACGGAAGTCTCTTCATTTCTTCCTTAAGAAATTCCTCCCTCTCCATTCATACACATGTATCCCTGGCCCTCCAGTCTGTTCCTTTTTTCTTGTCTTATAGAAATGTTGAGGGTTTGTTTTAATGATTTAAGTTGTATATATGGATAGTGTCAAACTTTTTTATGCATGCATCCAATCAAGTTACTGTATGATGCCACTATTTTAGATTAATTCCTAAAAGATCTCAACAAATATCAACTTGGCATGATTTGATTGAATGTGTGTAAAACTTCACTACATAGAAATTATTTTTTTCCTGTTTTAAAGGCCTATAAGACACTTGTTCACAATTCTCTCTCTTTAAACTTGAATCATAAGTTGTAATCTACTCATTGCAACACTATGCTACTGTTTCGTATTTGAAAAGAGAATTTAAAGTATAGATGCAAAGTGTCCCCAAAAAATCTATAGACCCCAAAAACACTATAGATGCAAATGAGAAAGACGAAGGTTATTAAATCAAGGGCCTATTTAGTTTGGAAAAATGTTTTATTTTCATATCTTGTTTTCATTTTAATTACAAAAAATACCACCTTATTTTCATTTATTTCTGATTTTCAATCAGATCATGCCTTATAAAAATAGGAAACAATTTACAAGAACAATCAAAGCTTTATACCACTGAGTAGAGTTTGTTACACGTATCAAACGACGTCATGATGTTTTATCATATAACATGTTTTTATCCAATTCATTAATCTTCAAATCTTTCTTAATAGTTTCTCTTTTAGTTTTTCTAAGTCTTCCTTTGCCTCCATTGTTTGGACTACTCAATCTAAGCTACTCTCTTTACTGCAAAATCTACATGTCCTCTTTTTATGTGTCCAAACCACCTAAGTCAAGTTTCTACCATCTTCCCTACGATTAATGATGGCCCCAACTCTCTAAATATTGTCTTCTCTAAATCCTATTTCATCTCATTTAACCACACATCCATGCAGAATCTACAAGTCCTTTCTTTCTATGTGTCCAAACCACCTAAGTCAAGTTTCTACCATCTTTTCTACAATAATGCCACTCCAACTCTTCTCTAATATTGTCCTTTCTAATCCTATTTCACCTCATTTAACCACACATCTAACGCAACATCATCTCTACATGATTTCTCAATCCACGCCCTACATGCTCAAAACTATCAAAATATACAATGGATGCAAGCTTCCAGTAAAGGCCTCATTTTAGGAGGGTGGAATAAGTAATCATATCATCTCAGATATGCTTACAAGATGGAAATCAAGTAGAAATAAGGGATATTTTTATAATTAAATGTGAAAACAAGAAATGAAAATCTCAAACCAAACTTACCCTGGAACTTTTTCTTTTATGTACCCATCTTCAATAGCCAAAAATAGATGGATCTAAGGTTTCAAGAAAGATGAAAAGTAACATCAACTAAGGGATTAACATTAATTCCTTAGTCAGTACCAAAATTTTAACCTAGCTCCGATTAGAAGTTTGAAGGGGAGGGGAGGGGAAGGGAAGGCGGCTTTGGGGGAAGAAGAGGAAAAGAGAGAAATCTTCCCTCTTTTTTCCTTTCAACGGTCCTTGCAAAGTCCCCCTCCTCCTAAACTCCCAAACATTGCCTTAGCTTATCTAATCAATAACAGTATTCCTAAGTTTCAAGAGACATACAGACACATATGAACATACTCATTTTCCCTCCTCCTGAATTAATCAAAAAGAGTATTCAACATTTGAGTACCTGGAGTAAAAAATAGTTTACAGGAACAGATTCCAGCTACAAACTGATGAGAAGATATCAGAGTAATACTGTCCCCTGCGGGCTATTTACTGCTATTGACAACTACGACTATATCTATTATTTCAACCACGGAAAGTCAAGTAGAAAGACGACTTACATTTACTGGCCAAGGAAAACACGAATGCTTCGTAAGCTGAAATTTCTCCATATCAAAGTCTCTGATTCCGCCATCATTGTTTGAAGCCATGAAATGAACAGCTCCACTGACAGATGAATTGATTGTTAGTATGCAATCATCCTTAAGGGTTGTGCCTAGTGATTACTATCACCAACAATTTAAGACCCCAAAATATTTATATAAAAAAAGGAAGGGAATGGAAGGATATGAATGAAAATAAAGACCTGGGATGCTCATAAATGTCAACAGCATTTGTGATTGCATTGTCCTCATATGTAGTTCGGGAGCAAAAGCTAACCCCGGGTCGATCTAAGTACTGCAAGACATAATGTATCATCAAATAACAGGAAAATATAGACAAACACATCAATTTGGAAGATCAAAGACAAAAAAACAAAATAAAGATAACCTCAAATTATTTCCACTTTTAATCCCTATAATCTTAATTAATTATATTAAAATTTTGGCTCAACCCCGTCTAAAAAACAAAGGTGAACATCTATATACTATGTAATATAATATGTTAGAACAATATCAATACACCAACTTGTGCAATTAAAGTAGCGGAAATTGTTATTTTATGCATGATATATCTCAGTAAACAAATCAAAAAGGAAAGTCGTAGAGTTGTACCTTTAGTGAATACATTAAATAATGAGAAAAATGTAACAATACCTCTATATAAGTAAATAGGATATACCTTGCAAATAAGCTCTCCTTGAAAACCTCCAGCAATCAACAAGTTATCACGTACCGCCAGTGTACTAATTTGTGTCTGAGTAAAACCCTCCAAGAGGCTTCCTGGATGTTTCTGTCAGCAACACACTTTTCAAAATTCATAATTTTTCCTAAGAGATACTTCAACAACAAAGCCATGCAAAAATTATTACCTCACATGGAGCAACATGCCCGGATACATTCAAAACTTCAGATCTCTTAGAACTTAATGAAGACCAGTGAACAATTGAGTAATGTGCAACAAGATATACATCATGTTTAGATGTCGACCAAACTAAGTTCCTCAACTGCAAGTGATAAATTAAAAGTTTCAAACTAATATTAATTAAATTAATTGCAGCAACTGTATTATCCAGTTTTTGATGTAAATTGAAAGACCTTAGCTTTTTTCCCACATAACAAAACAACATATCACTCATCGCACAGGTATACATGCAGGGACATATCTATCCACAAGAGACAAGATAACATGGAACATAGACAAAATAAACCTTATCACGTTGATCCTCATACAATTAAACTTAAACGCAAATATTTTAGAACTAACTTACTTGGAAATGAAGTATAGTTGACTTCACAGACCTCGTGTTTTGCCAGAAATCATAATACATTCCCCCTTTCTGGGTTACTTTGCATTCCTGTAGATCAAAGAAAGAGTTATAAGGTCAAAATATATTCTCAAAAACAATACTCATAAGCCTCCAAGCACTAAGCAAGACATATATTTACCTTCTCTGATAGTTCCCCTGATTGTGGTATATTTTCATAGTTTTTGTACTGCTCTAGTCTTGTTTGTCTATATTTCTCACGACTAATACTCAGTCTATCCCAAGGTATACCTTGGATATCCTTTCCCCTCCTAGCTTCAGCTGCAGTTGTATCTGTTATTTTGTTTTCCTGTTATAAAGAATTCAAAGCCCCGTCCAAAAAAAGTACAGGCAGAAGGAAAGATAGAGTCAATTTCCACATGGTAAAAAAATATTAATCATACAAACCAAAAACATAAGCATCTGAGTAAGGAGACAAACTAGAAAGCGGCAATAACAGTAATACAAATGCCATTCAAAAACAGTAATTTACACATAACATCCTAAAAATGTTTCCCGTGGAAAAGAACAAACATCCCACCAAAATGAAATTCTGAAACTCAAATGCTAACAAAGGCTTAGCTAAAAAGACTCAAAAAAAAACAAACCAAAAGGTCATATTCATCATCATCGTCTTCATCAGAATCAGATTCACCAAGTGCTCTCCCACGGAAATACATATCATCTTCTACCTCTGTCATTTCATTATCATCAACAACATACTCCATTCCATCCCAATGATATTGAGCCATGTTCCCTGCTTCCTTTCACAATTGATACTCGATATCTATTTCATTAAGTAAAATATCCAAAATAAGTTTATCAAATTCATCAAATTAGAAAAAGAAAAACATCAAATTCTATAACCTAGCCACTTTAACCTAAACACTACAATTACCCAAAAGAGAACCACATGAAATTAATTAAGCAAAAGGATAATTTCCACCGCCTCGAAAACTAAACCTAAATTCAAACAAAATTTCAATAATCTACATAAACAAAACTCTATAAGAGTAACAGTAAGAATCATAATCAACTTTAGCGGAGAAAAACAAAATTGAATTAAGAAAATTAAAAGTACGCAGAGCGGTTGAAATTGATTGCGAGATACGATGAAAAATAGATAAATGGATTGAGAAAATGCTGACCTGAATTTTGATTGTAGGTTGGTGAACCTGGTGGTTGTAGTTAGGGTTTGTTGTGGATCTCGGGGATAAGGACCGGAATGTAGACTTAAATCTGCGTATGCAAACGAAGCAGATTTGGAAATTATGCGGTGTTTTTAATCTGTGCTATATAATCTGAATAAGATAGAAGTGTTTTTTAAAGTGGACCGACCTATGTCTGGACCGGTCTTCTCTAGGAAAGTAACGGACCGGTTTAATTCTGGGTTTTTTTCTTCTGAAAATGCTATTAAAAAGTAATTAATTTAGTCGGTTCTTACTATCTTTTCACTCAACTCATAAATAATTAATTGGTATTGAGTTAATACTTTAAAAAAATAATTTTGAAAATCTGAAAAACAATAATTAGAATTATATTAAACCATAATTTAAAAACACGTGAACGTAACAGAGTTTTTAAGATAAAAATATAATAATAATATGTATTAAAAGAAATGATAATAAAATAAAATATAATTTGGTTTGGATTTTCATATTTTGAATTGTATGAAATTAATTTGTGGAATAAATCTTCAATGGTTTGATCTTCGCTTTTATAAATTAATCAATAAATACTTTTTAGTTAAAATGTTATTTTATTAATAATGAATAGTTGTTAAATGGGTGATTTGAAAGGTTTTGACGTTTAAAAATTATTCGAACTACAGAACAAAAAACATTTGCGATTTAATTTTATTCAGTTGATTTTTAATAATAAAAGTGAATCAAACCAAACCAAATTAATTCGATTTGGATTAATTTGATTGATAGAATTTTTAACAAGATTTTATTAAGTCATACATTCACGTATAAAAGTTAATCATTCATCCATTACAAATTAGCAAATAATTTTGTGTTTAATATTAATACATGATTTCACAATTAATTGATATACTAATTCACAATCAATTCATCAAAAAAATCTTATACTTTTAGTCGAATCCACACTACAAACAACAAAACTCTTGTATTTAGACACACACAAAAATATTTAATATACAAAAATTAGATTAAACAAAAATAGAATGAAAAACACAAACAGTAGCATAAAACAATATCAAATATATTATAATAAAATCGAAAAAATTGAGTAGATAGGAGATTAGAAAAGATGAAAAAAAAAGAACAAAAGATGGAATAGATTAGATAATAAGATGTGCGATAAAATAAAATTTGAAGAAAGAAGAGTTACATAAAAATGAGAGGATGAAGAAAAAAACATAAGATAGGAGAATTAGATAAGAAGAGACAATGTGTATCTTGCGAAGAATATGAGAAAAATGCGCGATACTGCTATGAGTGATTAGAGATGGATGAAATTGAAACTCTAAGTGCGAGGAAGCGAAAATCATTTGTATTATAATGATAACTTGATAAGGCATAATGGGTTCAGGTTTGGGTTGGATGTGGGTCAATCAAAGTTTAGGTTGTAAATAATACGATTCGGTTTGCAAAATACAAACTGCAAACCGCAAATTGAACTGAAACGCATGTTTCTGTTAAAAAAAAGACCCTAACACATCAGAACCAAATATGCTTTTTTGCGATTTTTGATTTGATTTGATTCGATTAGCGGTTTTCTATTGGGTTAATTCAGTTTTGAACACATCTAATGAATAGTTTATAATCGTAAAACTAGACAATTAAAATTAAAATGTTTAGGAAATTTTATTGTTGTAAATGTAAAGTAGAACAAAGTATATTATATTTAACTTTAAATATTCAAAATTATTACATTATAAGAATATATATAATTAATTGTGTTCCGGTATGGGCCTCACCTCGGCAGGCCCAATACCACATGCGGCCCAACAAGCGAACTGGGCACGCCTGGCACGCGCCCCTTCAAGCGAGCAGGACTGGCCGCCGGGCACAAGCTACATCACCACGTCCATTTTTGTCGTCTGTCACGCCGGACGAGCAGGACCACCCGGGCTCCCCTCCGCGGGGAGAATAACGTGCTCGGCGCACGTTCTCCACGTGCTCCCCTCCGCGGGGACACGTCACCGGCCAACTGCCCACCTCCGAAAGAGCAGGTCAAACCCACTTTCCGGAGATCTAGGAGCGGTTGAACTAGGGCGAAGACCACGTCCTGGTCTTCACTACGCCACGTAAGCCCTAGCAGTCATTAGGGTTGGGCCTGGTCGTCCAGCCCACCTCGAATGACCGTTGGCCCAGCGCTGGGGTCTCTCTATAAATACCCTCTTCTTCAAGAGGGTCAGGTAACTCTTTTTGCCCCTTTTTCTGTACTATTGCTTCCCCTCTGTCCAACTTCTTACTTGGGCGTCGGAGTGCTTTGCAGGTACACCCCCCTCCTCTTTCTCACCCCGGCGAACAGATAACAGCCCAACGGAGTGTGGCCAGTCCGTGATCCCTCCTGATCAGGTCAGATCAGTGGCGCCGTCTGTGGGAACCTGAAACTTCCCCGTTACTCCGAGCAGAAAACCAAAAGTTTCACCAAACCTCCACGGTCATGGCCAGCCCACGCCGCGATGACACTCCGCACGATCTTGCGCTCAACACCGCCACCAACGGGAAGCAGATAGGAACGGCACGTCTGACGGAAGCCGACGAAAGGGACGGGCGAACTGCTTCACCATCATCCGAGGAACGGCCCCTACAGGCCGACCACCGCCCCCCGAGCCCGCCAGCATTCCACCCCGTTCCCATCCCGGCGGGAGCAGACCCAACGGTAGCCGCTCTCTTTGCAGCCATCAACCAGACGAACCAGCTGCTGTTCCAACAAAATGCTAGAATTGGAGCATTGGAACGCGTCGGCTCCCCGAGGTACCCCCAGCGGGAAGACCAGAACGGAGGTTCGAGGAGCCCCTCACCTCGACTCAGGAACCGCCGGCCACGGCTGGAGAGACACCGCCCGCAGGCAACACGGGAGCGCACCAGATCCCCGGCGAGACACGGTCGCGGGAGGAACCAGAACGCCGCGGCGATCCCAACTGAGGAACCCTGAGGCGGGAACTCAGGCCGAAGATCAAGGACCCGAAACCCGGGACACACCGCGAACGGCTCATCTCCCCTGAGATCCCCGACGCACAGCGACGAGGATGACTACCGCACCCCACTATCCCGGGAGATCATGGCAGCCCCCATACCCCAGGGAATGGAGAAACCACCGACGCTGTCAACGTACGACGGCACCTCCGACCCGGACGATCATCTGGAAGATATCGAGGCTATGCTCGACTACCGAAACGTCCGGGGAGCTATTAAATGCAGACTCTTCCCGACGACTCTGAGGAAAGGCGCTATGACCTGGTACAAAAGTCTGGAGCCCGAATCAGTTACGTCGTGGAGGGTCTTGAAGGACCTATTCTCCAAACACTTCACGGCGTCCCGGCGTCACCCGAAGACGGAAGCAGTCCTCGGGGCAATCATCCAAGGCCCCGACGAACCTCTCCGGAAATACATCGAAAGGTTTACTCGGGAAGCCGTGCAGGTGACGACTTCCGACGAAATGAAACGCTACTTAATGGAACAAGGCCTGCGCCACGACTCCAAATTCTACGAGGCCGTAGGCATACACCGGCCCACGTCCCTCCAAGATTTCCTCGACAGGGCCGCGCATTACATCCGGTTCGAGGAAACACAAGCGGCCAACTCCGCTCGCGACACCCGAGACAGAGAAGCCCCCCGCGGGCACCGAGACGACGGAGCTTCGAGCCATCGACGAGGAGGGGACCGCCGTCGGGAAGACCGCCCCCGCGAACCCCGCGAACAGCGCGAGCCACGCGGCCCGGCAGGAAGATTCACAGAGTACACCGCCTTGGTCGCTTCACGCGAACGCATACTGGCCGAATGCGCTAAAACCGAGTTTGTGCAGGGAGGTGTCCGTTTTCCACGACCAACGCCGCCCAAACCTAACGTGGACAAGTCAAAGTACTGCCGATTCCACAGGACCCACGGGCACGTAACGGAAGACTGCATCCACCTCAAAGATGCGATCGAAATCCTAATCAAAGACGGGCACCTAAAGCGATACACCCGAGGGTATGAACCACCCAGGTCAGAGGCTCCGGAGGCTAAGAAAATCGAGGAACTCCCCTCTCCAGAGGACAGCGGGAGACTCCAGGTCGCGTTGTGCGTCAGCCGCCCCGAGGATTGGTTCGCGAGCAGAGAATTCGGCATCCCCGAAGGACCCAGCCTAGTCGACGAGCCAATCCGACCAACCAGCCGATGGGAGTACTTCCCCAGAGCCATGGTCATCTCTGATGGAGCCACGAGGAGTCTGTCCATAGGATTTGTGAAAAGGAAATTCGACGAACTCATCGCGGGCAACTCCGGCAAGATGAGCATGCTCGACAAATTCCGGGGCCGCTCCAACCCGATCACATTCTACCTCGAGGAACTACCCGGGGGATCTCCCAATTCCAACATACCCTTGCTCATACGTGCCCGAATGGCAAACTTCGACGTCAGGCGCCTCCTCGTCGACGGAGGGAGCTCGGTTGACATAATGTACTCGCATCTGTTCACAACTCTCCAGCTCGACGAATCCAACCTCTCCCCCTACGTAGGCTCCGACCTCCAGGGGTTCAACGGGACGACGACGAGACCCTGGGGATACGTGGAAC